AAATCATGGCATCATGGAGAGGTCTAAATATTGCCTATCCAAGACTAGCATAAATTTACCTTCCCTGAGATGTATGGTTCAAAATGCAAGTCTAGGAGTAGGGAAGTGATAGTGTATTCATGCATATGGTGAACTGATGAACCTGAGCTCATCAGCCTTCAAGGTTACACACAAACACCTCCCCGCCCGCTGCGTCTGTATCAGACGTAGCGGGAGAAGGGCAGGAGCCAATACACACAGGGAGCCAGCTTTTAAGCAGGCTCCCTGCAAGCACTGGCTCCCATGGAGCCGCCCCTACCCCCCCCCCCCCACACACACACACTGCTTCCTCTGGCTCCAGGGCATTGCCTCTCCCACACGTAACCCTATAACTGCTGAAAATTCAGCAGTTACATGTCCACATGAATAAACACTTTAACATCTCTATCTCTGAGGAATTCAAATCTGAGCATTCACACCAGGAAGACCCTGCATTATACGTGCATCATCTGGGATCAGTCTGTTTTTCCAGTTAAATTTTACCCAATGCCAATGTGTTGAAGTAAACGTGAAATTTTTTTTTTAAAGTGATATGCAACGACACTTCCTGAATGCAAGCACGGATGCTGCACAAAGCCAAGGAGATTATAGGCCAGGCAACATTACAAAGCCAGAGTCTGTAATAATGATTTGAGACGGACGGCATCCCTTTGAACAGAGAGAAACGTATAGCAGCACTCTCTGGGGATTCTGCTTTGTCAGATTCCTTTACTTCTCAGCAGTGCAGTCTTGATCAACGTGCAGGGTTTGTTTTTTGTTTTTTTGGTTTTTTTTCCCCATTTCTCCTCCGCTTTTCTGCTCAGCTGTCAGGACAGAGCAAAGGTCCTATCTGCTGGGAGAGCAGGATTTAGCCCCTAGATGTTTTTAACTCTTTCATGAAGGACTTATAAATTAAAAAAAAAAAACCACACACACATTGTCATCTTTAAAGAAAAAGAGTGCCCAAGCTACACAACGTGCCCAAGATTACAAGCACTCACTAACAAGTAATGCGACTGGAATTTCCATGCTCAGTGCATGAGGCAGGCGACTTGCTGAAAACTGATGCTGTATGTTCCTCAAAGCAAGGACCCTTTTGGGGATGTGCTTGTACCACATCTAGCACAGTGGAGCCTTGACAGTGCAAATAACCAGTGGCCCTGGCACATGAAAGTCCCAGCAGAAGAGACTAGAAACCAATTTCTACCTTCTCAGAAAACTGCTTCTAAATAAGAGCTGGGCAAAATTGTTCCAACCTAAACTTTTTTTTTGGGCTGCAAAAAGGTTTCAAAAAAGCCACTGAACTGTTTCATGAATTCATGCCAATTTTATCTGTTTCAATTTAAAAAAAATAAATAAAAATCTCAACACACACCCGGATACCCAGTCATCCGGGATGCATTCTACATTGAAAAGAAAAAGCAAGTTGGGTGGGGAAGCTTTGAAGTCAGGGAGAAAAGCTTCATCTTGATCAGAGAGGGCTGAACCTGAGACCTAGGCTACGTCTACACTACGAGTTCTCAGCAAAAAATATGCTAATGAGGGACTCATGTGCATGAGTTGTGATCTCATTTGCATATTTTCTGCCGCTCCATTTTTGCGCTGGGGTTTTTGCGCACGCACAACCAGTATGGATGTTTTCTTTTTGCACAAAAACCCTTTTCCTGCAAGATCTTTATGCCTGAAAAAGGAGGTTTACCCATCTTGCGGGAAAAGGGTTTTTTGCACAAAAAGAAAACGTCCACGCTGCTTGTGTTTGCGCAAAAACCCCAGCGCAAAAATGGAGCGGCAGAAAATATGCAAATGAGATCGCGACTCATGCACGAGTCCCTCATTTTTTTTGCCTAGAAAAAAAACTCAGTGTAGACACAGCCCTAGAGAATAAGCCACCAAACAAAGTCCCTAGCATGCACCTGCGGCAGACGCATATTTGCTATGGATTGTCCAGGATGCGCAACAATTAACAGCAACTTACACTGGCCCAAGTACACATACACTGCTCCATGCACCACAACCCCCTGCAGGGACTCCCGTTACAGGTGGGATCTCATTGAACAGGGTGAAGGGAGGACAGTATATTCTGTACAGGGTTAACGGAGCACGGGAAGAAATTATGATGTTCCAAGCTCGAAGCTGGAATATGGTCCAGAGTATTTTCAATGCGATTCTCTTTTGTCGTTAAACCCTAGTTACTAAAGGAAATGCTACACAGCTCTTCACGTCCATATTGACATGGCAGCCTAGATAACACTGTAGAGTAGGGGTGGGCGAAAGGGCAATGATCTGGCCCACGGAGGCCCTGCTGCTTCCCTGCCCCTTAGAAGCCCCCTGCCCCAAGCCCTGATTGGCCTGGGCGCCTGGGGGAACCTCGGGGGGGAGGGGAGGTTAGGCAAAGTTTTCACATGCTCCCCCCACTGCCAGACCAATCATGGTCTGTGGGTGGGGAACCAGGGAAGTAACCTGGCCCCGCCCCTTCCATCTGAGGCCCCACCCCTTCCGGTGCAGCCCAGGGCCACTTCAAAAATTTCTGAAGTTGCCCCCGGTAAAAAGTTATTGCCCACCCCTGCTATAGAGTGACAAATACCTCCGGCTCTTACATCTTCCACATACAAGTCCAAGAAGTCTGACGTGTTTATGCATCAGCCATCTCCCACCTCACGACAAAACCGGTTGCCAGAACTGCTGAGGTTTGTCCTCAAAGACCGACATGTGATAGATCTGGCTGCTTCCCTGGTCCAGACCCAAAACCCTTACTTCCTCGATACTGTGATTACTCACACAACTAAACAGCGAGGTTTACTGATGGCCTCTTAGTACACTCCGGAGCATGATGGCAGGGCATTCCCTTTAAGGGCAGGCAGCAAGCCAAAACCCCCAGCAGGAAGGGAAGGAGTGTAAGTGGTCGATTTTTCGGTGGCAATAAGGAGGGAAGTTCCTCACTCCTCATGGAAGCGGCACAAAAGCCCAGCCAGTATCTTCCGTAGAAGATCTTAAAACAACCAACAAAGGCAATGGAAGTGGGGTTATGGGACCACTCCAAGAGTGAGTAAAATGTGTTCTTGTAAAGGAGCTGGGGGTCTTTTCATAAGGGTGGTCCAGAATTTGTGAGGGACCTCAGCCAGGTGATAGGCGGGGGGGAGGTAATATCTTACTTGAACTGTACATCCAATACACACCTATATATATACCCACTAGGACTGGCTGAATGCAAAAAGGACACTCCTGGACCTCAGGCAGCTGCAGGTATCCTACACCAGCGGTTTTCAAACTTTCATCATGACCCAGTTGAAGAAAATCATTGATGCTGTGAGCCAACATAATTTGACTGGCGTGTGGGCTCTGGATGGGAGCCTTGAGGTGTAGGAGGGGGCTCCGGCTTTGGGGTTTACCTTGAATGGCTCCCGGTCAGCGGTGCAGCAAGGGTGCTAAGGCAGCTTCCTGCCTCTCCTGGTACCGCAGACCATGCTGTGCCCAGAAGCAGCCTTCAGCAGCCTTCAGCAATGGAGTGTGGAGCTAGTGCTCAGGGCAGGGGCAGTGTGTGGAGCCCTGTGCACTCCCCCTTCCTCCACCTACGAACCAGGCCTGCTGCGGGACGCTTCTGGGGTGCAACAGAGTTTGCAGTGCCAGGACAGGCAGGCAGCTGCTTTACCACCCCACTGGTTACCTGATCCCTCTACAGCAGCGAGACCCAGCGCCCGACATTCCACCACCCAGTGCTAGGTCACCACTGCACTAGAGACAGAAAGGACACACAGTTAGGAAAGCACATGCCACTCAAAGAACTAACATCAGGAGCAGCATTTCCCAATACAATGGGATAAATAAGAGAGCAGCTGCCTGTCTGCACAGGCAGGCCACGGAATCACAATCACGTGTCCTGCTCAGTAGTTTGTGTCTTCTTTTTAATTTCATTCACTCTTTGACATTTTCATTCCTCTCCCCCCCCAGGCTCCAACAACAGAAAATCTGTCTTGTGTTGTTATCCTTGCCCCCAAAGGCAGAGCAATGCTGGGGACTAAATAAGAATTGCTGCCTCCGTGCTGCCTGCCTTAAATAACAAAGACACGGTGACCTTCAAAAGGCCTTTGCCTACTGTTGGAAAAGCGATGCCTTATGAACGGTACCTTGCAGCGACGAGAGGCAAGGAGGTTTCAAAACAGAACAGACGGGACATGAGTGATGGAGCATTTTGCCGTGTGCCTGACCGGGACTCACTCCTTTGGGACCGGGGATTTACTACCATGAGGTCTCTCTAGTTTTCTCCTCCTTGGGCAAGGGCTGATTAGCTCTCCTTTTACATGAGTACAATTATTCTGAAGATTAGATCGCAGCGATAGCCCACATCTGCTCCCCACCCATCTTTTTCGCTCACTCTTAACCCCTCCTCCACCCCCCACTCATGTTTCCTGACAGAACCCTGCAAATGGCTCGGTTCTTACTGTTTAGCAATCCTGCCCATATATTAATTTTCATCTCTCCAGCCATGCCCGTAAGATCTGCAGAAAAAGGAGCACCAGCACAAAGAGGCCATTGGCCACGCTCGTTGCGTGAGTAATGACAGCATCAAGGAGGCAGAGATCCGGGGTCTGTGCCAGCCAAACAGCCAGAGGAAAGTTCTGAAAGCACACCCAAATCACACCTTTATGCACCAGCTATAGGGAGGGCAGATAGTTTTCCCTGTGGCGCGTGACACTAGCCTTCCAAACACATTAGCTCTGGGACAGCTTGTGTGCCTGTGTAAGTTCTATAATCAAGGTGTGACAGGCACCCATATGATTTTCCTTACCCCCAGCTTTCCACAGTGCTGGTCCCCTCCCCAGTGCTCATATCACTTAGATCCCCGCAGACTTACAGCCAGAACAAGAGCTAGGCATCCCTGAAGGTGACCAGAGAACGAACGAACGAACGAACATGTCTGCTTCAAAATGAGACCACCCGCGGCTGGAATTTGGTAGCCCGGGCAGGGTGAGCACAGTACTTACTGGCTGCTTGTATCCTCGCCTTGCGGCTGAGCACCAGCCCGAAGTGGTTTTGCGCCATGCAGTCATATTCGCCTTCATCCGACGATCCATCTCCCCTGACTTTTTGGAAGTGGGAGATGTACAGCGACCCATTGGCCAGCACAAAGGCGCTCTCATTGTCCACGATCATCGCCCCGTTCTTCCGCCAGGTGATGCTGATGGGTGGGATTCCTTCCACCTGGCAGGGTAACACCAGCGGCCGCTCTTGCACCGCGACCTCATCGCTGGGCTCCACAGTGAAGGCCAGCTCAGAGGAAAGG